TCCTGAGGGGGGCCCCAGACTCTCACTAAAACCCATACCTTAGAAATGGTCTGTTTTCGTAACAATAAGCTATCCGCCCAAAATATTTTCAGTGTCTTCATAACTCCTTGGAAGCTACATAATGTAAGTAGTTTCAACGCAAAAGCGATTGAACACTTGGTGACCTTCCCTCGTTAGAATGAATTATTCTTTTGCGTATATCAAACTGTTTAAAGAAAACACTGTGAAGTCCTATTAAATATTCTTAGCAATTCATATCTTCTTTTTTAATATATGCATATGTTGTATTTTCTATTATAATGACCTGTAGCATTTAATCAATGAATACTTACCATTTCCATCAATAGTCCCACTATTTGAATTATAAGAACTTGATAATGCTGTACCAATACTTCCGCGTTCATTAACAATTTTTTCCGGACGCATTTTATTAAGAATTTCTTCAAAACGTAAATCACATACGTTCGGACGTGATGTTTTTGAAAATTCACGCCAGCCTAGAATTTTTTTATAAAAGAAAACAAAAGAAAGTCACTTATTTTATTTAACATAGATTTGAAAAAATTAATTTTTTCTCATTAAGATATTTTAACTTACTCGATGGAACGCAGTAACGTGGATTGGCTATAGCTGGCTGACCAAAGCCACGTATATTTCCAGCTGATACACGTACATAACATTTCTGTCCAATAGGTAAATCTCGAATAACATATTCACGAAAAAAACAATTTTTAACAATATCACTATGAACAACACACTCAGGCGGAGAGCTTTCATTAAAATTTTCATTTGTGCACCATTCGACTTAAATAAGAAACGATTTTTTGTTATTAAAACAGTATAATCATATGTTTAAAAACTGAATAGTTTGTTTTTTTGCTTTTTCGTACTTTTATATTTAATGACCATGGCTCCATTAGATCTATGTGGTTCGTCATATGTAACAGTGATACTATTTGAACCAGTAACCATGAGGCGAACATTTGTTGGAGCATCCGGAATACCTAGAAAAATAGAAAACGAAAAATGAACACGTATGCTGAAGATTATTTATTCATCATAAAACATTCATCAAATGACGAATAAAATCGACAATAGACGGAAATTAATTTCCAAGTAATTAATCAATAAGATGGATTTATGACATTTTCTCTCGCATTTTCGACATTGACAACTTACGCTTTTGATATTTTTCTTGATGATAATAAAAATCTTTGGATGAATTTGGTGCATTTAATGATGATGCTGATGATGAAAGACTATCACGTTGAAGACTTTCACCAGAAAGGGAATTCTTTTGACGTGGTTTTGTTACAAATCGAAGAGCAGCTTTAACAATTAAAGCTCGAGAACGAAATTTTTTATTACCGTCCATTCTTTTTTTTTTCAAATTACGATTTGTACCTTTATATGAAGATAGAGTGAAATAATATGTAGAAGAGTTATACTTGTTTTTGCGTGTCTGACTTTTGCTCCAGCAAAAGACTTTTATGCGAAAAACGATATACTGATGTTATTGACGCCTCGACAAAAGTTTTTCTTTAGCAATACGACCAACGACAAAGTAACAGAGAAAAAGAGCCTTAGAATGAGAAAGATTGAGAAAAAGAATAAAAACAAAAAAACTCTAGTGAAGAAAAAGAAAAATAATCATGTTCAACTTGATGAAAAAATAGGTAAGCTGCTTTAGTTACTTATTCAAGTCATGAGAATATATAATTAAAAGAAAGAAATGGCTTTTCGTAATGATTATCTTTCTCTCTATTCGTGTCTTGCAATAGGATGTGATTTTAACTTTATTTGTCACGGATCCTATTATGTTGATGAGATATAGCTGACTAGAAGGTGAAAAACTAACAACAGAACGAGTCCGACAGAAATCTAATTAAACGAGAATCTCATATATGACCAGAGAGATAATGAAAGAGAGAGAGAGAGAGAGAGAGAGACAGAGACAGAGACAGAGAGTAGTAAGAACGAGAGATAAAGAAACAAAAAGAAAAAGGAAAAGGAAAAGGAAAAATACGCCATTATTACGAACGATTTTGATTCGTATTCTTTATTTTTTGTTTTTGTTTGCTCGGGTCTCATTATTGAATAGCCTTATTATATTTTATATTGATTGTTGTAAAAAAAAAGTGGCGCAAATTAGAATATACAAAATAGTTGCACAGATGTTGTACTTTCTTTTGTTTTCAATAATTCTTTCTCATGTTACTTTTGCTTTTTACACTCACCTGCTTGTTCATAATTGTCTTTCATTTGTGTCAAAGTTAATGTACGTTGCTGATAAAGTTGTTGTTGTTGTTGTTGCTGTATTTGTAATTGTTCTTGTTGGCCTTTACTTATTCGACGATGACGTTGTTGAGTATCATTTGACGGAGATGAACGACGAAACTAAATTCATTTATTATGAACACCTACGTAATATATAGATATTACATACTTGAGCATCATCCGTGGTTAATTTGTTTGACGAAGATTTTTTTATAGTTTCATCGCAATTCTGTTGAGAAAGCATTGATAATTGATGGCAAACACTTTGATAACGACATTCTTCAGATTGAACTATAGACAATTATTAAATAGACAAAAATGAAAGAAAAAAATAAAAGATTTTGTTTTGTTTTCTACTCAATTACAAGAATAGAATTTATACATACTTCTTGCACTTTCTTCGCCACCATATTCTACAAGAAGTTGAATCATGGGAATATTATTTAACATGATAGCAATATCCAATGGACACCAATCATATTCATTATACCTAAATGGAAAGAACAAAATGGAAATTTTCTTTTTTTGTTTGTTTGTTTATAAATATTCAAAATATTTATTTAAGAAAACTATAAAGAACAATTTTGATGATTTCCGTTGTGTAGGCTAGCTGATTTAGGATGGAAAGGGTGCTTCAATGTCAGTAAGTTCCGTTGAAAATCAGCAATCGATTTCCTTAATCTCAATTTCCGCTTTAGAAATATCCATATAATTACCATATGACATACGCAAAACTATTTTGTACTTACGAATTAGCAAAACTTTCATTGACTTGTAAAAGTTGTTTTGTTGTAAATAAATCTGAATCTTCAACAGTTTGAAAAATATCTTTTTTTTTAAAGAAAAAGTTCATTTATACAAAAAAATCAAAATGATCAAAATTTTTTTTCTTACTTTCAGTTGATAACTTGCTTGAACTACCTAATGCAGAACCGGAACTTAACTTCAGTGTATTTCCACTTGAAGTATTCTTTAAATCAACAATTTTATTTATGGAAATACTTCCAGTTGTATTACGTCGTCGAGATAAATACGATGTTAAATCTGATTGTTGATTTTTTGATAATATTGTACTTGGTGGAGCTAATAAACTTTCTTTTGTGTCAACACTTTGCTTAGAATTGTTTGAAGGTGATGAGTTAGACCATGAATGTTTTGGTGCTGTTGGTGTTGTTATTCGTCGACCAGAACTGGCATAACTCCTGAAATAAATAATAAGTGATCATCGGAAAAAAATGAAAAACAGATAAAATATCAAATTGTTTCATTTGAAATGTCTCAATGAATTCAATTCATATTTGATATTGAACAGTTCTCAATATATCTGAAAATTATGAACTCCTTTTGAATGTTTTTTTCGTAACCTGAACAAATAAAAAATATTGTCGAAGAAAAATGTTTTGAACAACGAAAAATAGTCGATGAAGATCGAAAGCGTTTCTCCAGAAAAATGATTTCAGATTTTACTTTTTTTGATCACAAAAAGAAAAGACAAATCGAGAAACCTTTTATATACTATCAATTCATTAATATCCTTAGTAAACTTACTGAAGTGTATCGTTGGACACCGTTGACGACGAAGCATTATCATCAGACTAGAATAAATTTTGGAAATTTTACGAAATTAAGTTTTCTTTTTAAAAATCTAATAACTTACAGAAACTCCTGTAGAATAAGGACGAGTTTTCGGACTAAATTGCCGAAAAAGTAATTTTTGGATCAGATTCGGGCTTGATGATGGAATTGAACCTTTTGAATCATCTTTTTTTGTTTTTAAATTAATTAAGAAAAGATTCAAAATAGAGAATATTTATTTGATTTTAAGAAACCTGTGAGTGATGTATTTGAATCTTCGGTTGGTAGCTCAAGTTTAACCAGAGAAAAACGTCTCATACCACTGTGGCGCATTCGATTCATTGGCGTCGATTTAGAAGATTCCAAGTTATTTTCATCGGGAAGAATCTCATCGGATGATATATCACACGTTGTTGATTTACGAAATCGACGTCTAAAATTATATTTCTTCTTTTATTATATATGTTCTAGTTATAATTTGTAGTAATATATTTTCATCGTTTCTTTCTCTTTTCTTTGTCTCTTGGATCTTCTAAAGTCTTTTCTTTCTGTTTCAATAGCTATTAAAGTCATTAATAGAACAAGGAAAAGAAGCAGATGTCAATTTAAGGAATGTAGTGAGCAAGTCAAACTACATCAACTAATATCTTCGTTGAATCAAAATGATGATGCCACTCAACTGTAATGTCATATAGGGAGAGAAATAAGAAAAAAAACATGCACGTTGATCAATATTAACTAGATTGAATTGTTTAAAGAAGAAAAGATAAAATCTTACAGATATGTATAATCTTAAAGTGACTGTCTTACTCTATTTGGTATTCATTAAAAACAAATGAACTAATATCAATATGTATATTTTTCTAATGACATCTCATGTATATTGTATATTCCTTTGATAGTTTCAATTTTTTTTGTCATCATGATCAACTTATTGTTGGATATCATGTCGTTTAATTCTACTAATAAATTATATTATATCCTTGTCTTAGATCGATTTCTATCATCGATCAGAGCAATTTTATTACTGATGCTATATATAAATATATTGAAAAAAATCTATGAGTTGATAGAAGTATTTTGTAAATGAAAATATCTAAGAAGGTTACAATGACACAGAACAACTTACAAATAATATTTGCTATCTAGTATCTTCTGAAAATTTAGAAAAGAAGAAGATGAAGAAGAAAAACCCTATCAAACAAATAACGATGTACCGATAACAATTTGTATGAATATCCAATCATCTGTCATTCCAAACCTTCTACTTTTTTTCTTCTTATCAAAGATAAAACAAACGTCGTTACTTCTAAATGATGAATGTAGTATGTACTAACACAAAAATAATGGAATATAACTGTTTATTCTATTGCAAAAATGTCGTTTAAGAAAGTATACTTAAATAAAAGATGTCAAATGCAATGTTTAATACATCATGATGATGAAAGACTTAAGATTATTTCTTGTCGAAGACTTGACTAGATTGATTGAATAGAAGCACTATTTTCATCGAAATTGATCGTCTGAATTATAATGTGCATCAGTTTCATTTTCTCGCATCAATCGATGGAAAGTAATCTCCTGGGATAGTCATAAGATCTATGAAGATATTTATATTTATATATAAATTGACTTGATCATTGAAGATGACGAACGAAAAGAAGAAATTTAATAATGAATATAGAAAAACACCGACCTCAAAAGATTATGCTGTTTTGTTGAAACCAACATTTGTCGATATCGATTACGAAAACGAGCTATATTTGAAGGTCGTTTTGATTGATGTCCAATATCAGTTAATGATGATAATGGTGGAATATTCATATTAGATTTTAGAAAATAATATAACTAATGAGCATAGAGATTTATGTCGTTAAATTTCAGTAAAAGTCTTTCTTTGTCGAGTGATTATATCCGTCGTCGTTGTTGTTGTCGTTTTTTATTATCATATTTTGGTTTTAAAAAAAATAGCACGTCCAGTATGATGATGATGTTCATGAATGATGCAAACCGGAGGAGATAAACGATGAGAAAATAACCCATGCAAACATTCGATGTTAATAGTCGTAAGACTATTAGCAAAAACAAGTTGACTTCCGACAAGTGAAGAAAATATCTGTGTAAGTCTATGTGTTTGCTAATGATGAAGGAGTGCGGATGGAATGAACGCGTTTTAGCGTGAACAAATGTTATTGCCGTCTAATCGTGTCTCATTGTCACGACTATCAGTCTTGTAGAATAAAAGAGATCGAACATATTTTTATATGCAAAAGAGATATAGTCTCTTTGAAGATGCAACTAAGAGAGATAGAAAAACAAAGAGAGGAAGGATATATCAAATATACACACAGTTTCTATTTAGTTAGATTTTTTTCTTCGTATTTTTTATCGCTTCAAATAAGTTTTGCATCATTCAAGAAAAAACAGAGAACTCGTTTTTTTTCATTTTCTTTTTTTATCCAACTGCGAGCATGATTCAGTAAGAAAAGCATGATTTAAATACTTAAGAAGATATAGATTTTATTTTCTCATTATTTATTATCTTATCTTCCATATTATACATCTTCAATCCCTTGATGATTAGATGTGATGTGATTAAGTATGTAGAATGAAAAGAATTAAAAACAAGAGAGAGAGAGTAAATACAAATGACGTTCATCAAATTCAGTTCATAATGACAAGCTTTTCCTTTTTAATAAAAATTAATTAATATATGAAATATTTGATTGGATCATAAAAGAATATTTATCTGACACCTACACTATTTTGAGTAAGAATTATCTATTTTTGTCACTTTGACATGTCAGAATAGAAATTCTTTCAGCAGATTTCTATGATGATTAAAGCAAAAGAACATTGAAGAGTACCTTTTCTGTTGGGTATTTTATACAGAGTAACAGATTGATAACAACAACAGTAAAAAAAATAAAAAACTTAAGACTAAATATAAAAATAAACTACTTGTTTTGTTATGTTCTTGTGATTTATTATGCAAGCGGAAAAAAATAAGCGCGTCAACGTTAATCCCTAATCGATTCTTTTAGATTCACAAGATTGTTCTTTTATTGTAACGTAATTTACACGTATATTTTTATACGCTCGTCAGAAAAGAACATGTACACAGACATAAAATGAGAAGAAACTATGATATATCATTATCAATTTCATATAAGTACCAGTGACATGTCATTTATCTTTATATGGATTTATTAGTTTTTTTCTTAACTCATTTTACCTTAAGGAATATCTACTATTTATATAAAAATATTAAAAAAAATCTACACGAAAAATGAATTTAATTTATTCATTCTAAATTTTATTCGTAACTTCTTCTATCAAATCCTAGAGTACAAGACGTGGAAGATATCGACAAAATCTGGAAATCGTACTTTTTTTGTTTTTTTCCTTTAGTATATACTAGATAACTTGTACAATATGAATACCATTGCTGGCCAATATCAAACAACCAATCAGTTAGTCAATCAGTCAACTAACTTCGAATGTCAACAACAGTAACTAGAGAAATAATAAAGCACCGTAATGACGAACGACCATTAATCTATCTTACGCTTTATTTTGATGTTTATAACAGTCAAGAAAACAAATGTGTGTGTGTGTGCGTGCGTGCGTGCATATCACGAGCGAAGCATCGATTCTCGTTCGTGCTTCAGTACATTTTTCAGAAAAAGAACATACATTTATAGATATATTTTTATCTATCTATATATTCACACAGAATATGAATAATTTTTTGGAATAAGAACAAAAGAAAGAAAGAAAGCGTGAAAAGTTTTATAAATTTTTCATGATTAATTAAATCATTGTGTCATTTTCCTTTTTCTTTTTCTCTTTCTATGAAATTTTTGGCATTAAGAGAGTAGTAGTCCGATAATACGTTTCGTGTCCTAATGGAAAGTTCTTTTGTTTTCTATTATCATTTTATCGTAATCATAATACGGCAAAGTTCGTCGTCTCTCTATGTATCAATATAATAAACAAAGAAGAAAAAAAAATGAACCTCAATAATGATTTAGTTAGTTAACATCGATGCATACAATGGCATGACAATTGTCACTATATTCAATCGCTTCTCTTCATTGAGATGGAGTGTACGGCAATTTATATCGATAATTCAAGGTTTTCTTCTCTTTTCCCTTCATCACATCAAGGCAATATATATTCTCAATCATGAGTTGCGTCATCCTTTAGACATTCAGTCAGACAAAGATAGATAGACAAACAGCTACGTGCCATTTAATTGACACAGAAAGATTCATCCAATCATGTGCATAAACAAATCGTAAAAGTCAAATGACTAGACTCATCATCAAGGATACTTACCTAACTATAGGAATACAAACAGCTAAATAAAAAAGATATACATATATATATATATATTTGATAACCTTAAAAAAAAAGAGAGACTTTTGTCTGCTCATATATATTTGATAAGCTTTCGACGACCAGAGGATCTTCTGTCTACATGTTTACTGACTTCAAGCAAGTCTAACAAACTAAGAAATTACCAATAAATGAAGAGAAGAAAATTAATAAAGATGAATGATACGATTGAATATTACTATTGTTATCAGGAGAATTTTGGCTCATTGTTTCTTACTGAATGATCGATTGAATATAAAGGGAATGTAACTAATTAGACTCTTTTGTTACTAAAAAACGAAAGTACATTGTGAATAAGCATTTATTCTATTCAGACACAAATTTATTTCTATTGCATTTATTGATAAAATATCCGTTGATGTTTACAAAAGAACTATTATGCAGAAAATAATAATAATATAGAAATATTGTAGCAACCTTTTTTTTCTTCTTTACAATATTGTGTTGCTTATTAAGACATGTTGCTAATATAGATTCAGTGGAGACATCCGTATTTTCTTAATAGGGATGGTCGATACAATTCTTCACAAATGATATTTCTTTTTTTTTAAGTACTATAGACATATAAATAGATGTAGTCGAGTAAAATAAAATATTTTTGTTTCCGTAAAAGACAATATATATATCATTTTTAGAGAATATTTCAGTAAAAATATGTAATAATATTCTTACCACTTTAGATAATCACAAAAAAAAAACATAATGATAATTAATCGGCCTATTTTCTAATCAACTGCCTGTGAATATTTCTATTTGGTTTATGGAGTAGAAATCAATCGACACGATTTTTCAGTATACTGACCTCTTATGATTCGCAGCAGTCATTGTGGGTCGTGTCGTTCGAGAATTTTTGTTACGAATGCTGTCACGCACGTATCGAAAGCCACCACTACTAATAGTATTAGCCATCAGTTGGTCGTTTTCAACACCGCCAAATGAAGCGCGCTTTTTAGTATTTGTTACAACAGACTTATTTGAAGAACGAAATGATATTAGTGACGAACGACGATGTAATAAAGAACTTCGTTTTTGATGATCATGTTCAGTTAGGCTCGATGAAGATGAATGCAAATGAGGTTTCAAACGTTCTTGCCACCATCGATACAATTTAACCCAATTATCTGTTCGTGACATATTCTAGAAAATATACAACAAAGAAAAAAGAAGTATCTCATGCAAAAAAATTGATTATGCGTTCATGATAAATGAAGAGCAAGTGGTGATACTATTCTATTTTGTGTTTGTTCTTTCCGGTTTCTCTTGTCATCAATGAATAAGAGAAAGAAAAGAAATATAAGAACAAAAGGCTATATAGTCAGAGTAATCGACAGTGACGACAAGCTAGAGACAGTTCAATATATAGCTATACTCTCATCATCTTCTCTACACATATATAAAACACATTCATCTAGTGTTCATAATTGCTACTCATGTCGACAATATGCCGGCAGCAATGATAGAAAAAGACGCTAAAATAAATCAGAAGTGACGCATTCTTTTCCTATACATTAAAAGACTCCTGAAAGAAAAAGCAAGAGTTAGTACGGTAATAAATTTTTTCAGAAACACACATACGGCCTTCATATTAGTCGCGCAACATTGAGCCGTTCTTAAACTGAACCTGAATACTAAAAGACCTTGTGTAACAGAAGAGAAAGAGAGAGAAGAAGAAAAAAACCTGACTAAATGGTGCTTCCGACATAAGAAGAGAAGCAATAAGAATGAACTCGGTGCTTGTTACTTAGAATATGGAGGCGGATCATTTCATATTAGAAATAAGTAGAGGAGAATAACTATATCACAACAAAAGTATTCAGCCGACCAGATAATGAACGGAGCAAAGCCGGACGTTTAGCTCCATTTCCTTTTATTATTCAAAAATGAAAGATAAACTGGCCTTCATCATACATACATACATACATACATATATGCGTCTTTATAACAAATGCGAACCAAAAAAAAGAAAGAAACTGTATTAAGCTCACGACAACAGAAAAATGAAGATGTCGACCTTTGGTCTGTTTGATATCGAATTATTGTCTTCCATATACACCAAGGGAACAGATGGATACAATGTTAATTGTGCCAATAAATAACATTGCAAAAAAGTCGAGATCAAGGCGAATAAGAAAGAAAAAATAATGCAATATATATGTGATTTATGATATCTATCGTTCGGATTGAATGTGCATATGTTTGTTGACGACCGATACCATCACTGAAAAAAGACCAGTGAGGTCAATCAGCTCAACTCAATTTAGTTCTTCTATTCGTACATAAAAAATTTTCTCGCTTATTTTTCTCGCTTGAATGCTTACATATTTATATATTGCTAAAAATAGTAAACATGTCTTTCCTAGATAAACAGTTACAGCGTCAATAATCAAATATTTCAACCTTGTCGATTTGACAGAAAAAAAAGACTAGACAAATCTTAATCACTGTAGATTATTATTCTTGTTTCTATCTAATAAAAAGAACGATTTTCTCGTAATTATCTTTATTGTAAAGCAGGAAAAACACATCGTCATTTCTTATAATAAAAAAGGCATCGAATATGAATCATGCTTATGACATATTAACTCAACGCTGTATGATCATGATTTCATGGAAAGTGACTTAGATGATTTTGTCTCATGGCTATATTGCATAGAATTTAGTAATTAGTTTCAGTCCATTTTGATAATCTCTATTGAATATGAAATTTAGATAAGTTTTTCGTTAGCTAATTATATTTCATTTTTTGCCCCAGTAAATTATATATATTGTCAAGAAAAATTTAATGGTGTATTTATAAAACAATTATTAGCTGCTCGGACAAGAATATCATGGTACATGTATTATGTGATAATGAATTCCGACATATTTCTTTTTACTATGACAGAATTATACCTAATATATCATGTAATGACATGACAGGCAAATAGTTTGCTGTTTATTTTATTCGCAACAACTCATGTTCATTCGTTTCACGTCAGTCATAGTAAGATGAACGAAAAACAATGCTCGTTAAACACACATGATTGGTTAAAATTTACTACTGAAATCATTAATCTCTTATAAAAAACGATAGAATAATGTATGTAAATAGAGACAAAATTATATATTAGTGAAAATATTTCCAATCATTTTTTTCTTTCTTTTTATCATTCATCGATGGTGCATAATACAGATATGTCTAATTCTTTTTGTTATATTTTATAGTTTCACTCTAACATTTAATTGCGTCATACGATTGACACAATGAAAATTGATGGGTATTAGTGACTTTCAATGTAGCCGATCATTTATGAAATCTTAAATGGTATTATTAGTTCTTCTCGAAAGCCTATAGCCACAGGATAAACGACATAAGCTAAAGTCAATAACATCTATGTATTATATAAAAGAATACAAATGGTTGCCTCAGCAATTATTTCTTCTATTTTTTTTCTATCTAATATTTGGTATAGCTGATGATGCGAATAGAATGAGTTCTTTTCTGCTGTAATTTTGTTTAGTTTTTGAAGGCTTGAAAATCTTTTTGGATAAATTTTCGTAAAATCTGCAAGAAAAGAAAATTTATTTCTGTAACAGACTATGAATAATTATCTGAAAAATATCAATTATTCATATCTAAAGAATCTAAATCACAGTAGATACGAAACTGAAATAAAAAGAATTCTTTCTGATGATTTCTTTTTGCTTCAATTAGAATCAATTTAATTGAACATCTATTTATTTTTTCATAAAATTCATGTCTGTTAAACGATTCTTATCATGTATTAAACTACAATAAATATGTGCTGTTACATTCATCAAAACAAGGACAATTTTTATCAAATTCAAGGGAAAAAAGTAAAATTTCATCGAAGTATATTTTTTCATCTTATTCTTACTCGTCGAAAAAGTAATAGCTCATCTTCATCTTTTATTTTTATTGACAATAGAATTCATTTGTCATGTTTTTACTATCAAATATCATGCTGCACATGTATGACATAATTCATAATTAGTAAAATTAAAATTTGGATCAAATATTAGTAGACTACACTTTGCAAATTTGAATTTCATTTCACAATGATCCGACTGTTAATCTGCAATTTTTCAATGATTAACAAAAATTAAAAATTTCATAAATACTTGAGAACTTCATTTAATTTATTTGTCTGATAAACAGTATTACTGAGTGTATTCAACTTCAAACTTTTATATAAAAACTTCAAGATGATTAATTGGCAGATTTGTATCGAATAAAGTAGTAGATTTTTATCCACTAGTTAATACAAATTTTAAAAAGATAGTGAAGTAGATTTTTCAAAACTTGATAATTCTGTATTTTATGGAAAAACATTTCCGGTATCAAATTAGTGCATATTTTTTCTTAATAGATGAAGATGAAATTCTTTCTAATGCTTTCGCTCATACTTTTATTTTAGTAGAATGTAAAGCAGTCTATTCTATATTTGTATTTTGAATGCTTTTCCTAAGTTCATCGTGAAATTTTGAACAAGCAAAAATTAAAGTATTTCATTGATTATGCGTCATCTATTAGAATTGCGATTTCTTAAAATTGAACGATCCAGGCTTTAAAACTATTCAATCGATTAATATATGAAGTATGCTATTCAATATTAAAACTAAGATGTAACAAAGTCAAACTTACTTCATTTAAAAACCGAACATTTCACTGTACTACCCGATTGATTTATATTGATGAAAAGTCTTTTTGTTTTGTCTTTAAGAAAACAATAGTCTATCCGTATATAACTCATAAAATGATTACTTCTGTATCGGTTCACTTGATCGACATCTTATGATGAACTTATATTGTTTGCCTTAAGTCAAGCAATTTTTCTATTGGACTGGAAATCGATCATAGCTTATTATTAGATTTAATCTCATGAATAGAGAGTAGAGCTAAGAATCTGTATAGAAAAATCTCATCATTAAATTCTGTCAGCTTTGATCCAAATAAGACATATGAGCTTCACATATTTTCTCTTATGGCGTTATATGTTTCCTAAAATGCTTCGAACATACTCAAACAAATTCTTTTATTTTTCTCTTTGACTATTATGACTTCCACAAAAACTAACAAAAGAAAATGATAAGATTTTCATTTGTAAATTAGCTTATTTGCGAGACTAACTAAGCTAAAAATGAATACATCTAATCGACTCGGACCTTATTAGTTACTAGGAATAATAATATATTTCATTTAATTTACTAATGTGTTGTAAACATTTTCTATAATATTTGTTTTTACATTAGTGTTACGTCTATTATGTGGTCTTGGTGTATCTATTTCATCGACGTTAACTTCAGTGAAAATAGTTTTACACTTCAACATTATAAAAAAGTTGTTTTATTCTCAAGTATCGCTGTGAATTAAGTTTGAAACCAATTACATCTCGTGATATCCTTCATTTTTTTTCACATACAGACAAGTTGATTCATCTACAGAACGTACATATACATAATATTAGCATGAAAAAAGTTAATAGAGACATAGTGGACATACTATGTATTCACAAGAGAACGGTCAAAATAGCAAGAGTAACTACAATCAAAATGTGTTCATTCTTCAGATTTCGAAGGTCTTCACTTTAGACAAGTGCATTTTCACTGAAAAATGACTCGATCAGATTTGAGACTAATCAATCACTAGTGCAAAAAGCGGCAAACATAACCAATTGAAGTATCCATATCTGACATATTTATCTAACTTGTCCGAATGAATAGAACTACTTATATTTCATGTTTCTCATTCATCAGAAATATTTCAATGAATGTTTCGACATATTCATCAAGATTATTTTCCTTAAATCTTTCAAAACAAACTTAAGAACAAATATATGCATTTGTTTCTCATAGTTATCGGTAATCTGATAGAAGATAAAAGAAAAACAATTTTCTTAAGTGTTAATATTTTTTGCAAACTTAGATATATTCTTGGGATAAAAATCATCGATATTTAACAAACTTGATAATATCTGTGAATTCCATGAGTACAAGAAAATGATTTTTTTTATTGATACAATTCTTTCGTGTATCTTAGTTGTTTGTTAACAAGATAGATAAACACAAGGTTTTTTCCTTCGCAGAATACGACACACATACACGAAGAGAAACATGCATAACCACATCTGCATCAGAGACAAACATAGAAAAAAGTGAAACAGAGAGAAAAAAAAGTACACAACAATGATGTAGAGAAACGCAAGAAAAAAAAAGAAAAGGAACATCTATCGAACAATCACACAACTGATTTGCTGATGGTACATCAGTCAGACATCAGTAGAGACAGCAGGAGAGACGTTGAACGTCGCACACGAAAAAAAAACTTTTGACAAGAAAATGAAAAAAAAAGTCAATATATGTGTGTGCATGCGGATTTCAATTTGTTTACTCTCCAGATACTTCCTCGGCGTCGTCATCATCTTCATCACCGACATCTTTTGACTCATCATCATCATCATCATCATCACCGGCACCTACATCGCTACCGCCTATATAAATAATAGGTAGACAAAATATTTTTAATTAATTTTTCTTTTACCTTCATCGCTATCCCCTTCGCTACCTTCACCTTCTTTAAAATCTAGGAAAGAGTGAATTATTTACATTTAACAAATATTAAATAACATACCATCATCTTCAGAATTTTCTTCATCTTCATCATCATAATCTCCACTTTCATCTGGATCACCTGAAAAAGAACTACTTCTTTTTAAAATAAATCACAGAAAGACTTTTACCACTAGCGCCAGCATCGGTTGAAGTTGGTTTACCATTTCTCTTTTTTACATCAACACTATTTGAATCTTCATCGTTGGTATCTCCGCGAGATTCATCATCCTCATTTTTTGATGTTTTGTTTTTCGTTGTTGATGTTGCAGCTTTTACTGGCGTTGTCTTTTTTTTCGAGCTTGTGGTTGTTTCAGTAGCTCCATTAGATTCATCATCTTCATCATGAGTTCGCTGAAATAAAAATAGATTCATGCATATTAGGAAATGTTGCAAACGAAAGAAATTTACCTTTTTGCTTTTGATTTCGATTTCTGCTGACATTTCTTTTTTTTTCTGTTAGATTAATCTAATAGACAGGAAGAAGAAGAAAAAAAGAGGAAACAAAAGAGGAAAGATGGAAGATAAGAGACACAAGCACTAGTAAAATAACAAGTTATGATGGTCTGAAACAAAGTTTAAAAAATCAAATAAAAAATTTGCAACTTTTCTCAGTAATGTTGTTATTTCGTTTTAGCAAGATATACGTAACTGAGTGCGTCTTTGAATCGAGAATAAATGAGAAATACGTCAAACAAAGAATTATTTTTCTTTTTCTTTCGCATTTCTCTCATTGGTCTGACGGCATACTAGACAAATTGTTAGACGGCCTCCGCATTGATCAGATCCGATTGATTTTTTTAATGAAAAAAATTTTTAAAAAACTTTGAACAATTTTTGTAAATAAAATTTTGATTCTGATGAGAAATCATTATAGAGGCATATTAAATAAATAATATACCATTTTTAACTAATCACGAAATATCTGATATTTTCAAAAGTTAAACCATAAGCTAGTTTTTTAATATTAATGCAAAAAACAAAGAAGGTATCCACATCCAGTTTCCTTTTTCCATCTAGGTTCCGAAGCATGACTATAGTGACCTCTGTTGAATTAAACGCTATAGATATCGTTAATTTCTATTCATTGCGATAATACTTTTAATCAAAAATCGTATTTCTAATAATAGATGTGTTTAAAAAAAATATTTTAAGAAAAAACTTCGTGTTCAAGACATCCATACTGTTTTACACTTTCTTCTTTTAATCACGATCTAACTACTCTGACGTCAAAACTGTTACTAATGCTATATTCTTTAGAATTGAAATAGGTAAGATGTTGTTGTGATAGTTCTCTCACGTACGTGTGTTCATAAGAGCGATGTATCAATGAAAAGCGCACGAGTATTTATTAATATCTATCAATTAATAATTTAGCCGCAACTAGAAAAAAAAGTTCAAGTTCTTTGATTACGACGATATTGTAGGTTGTAGGAGGTTTTGAATTTTTTTGCAAAAGACGTTCTATGTTTTCACCATGTTGTGCGATGATAAACTTAAATAAATATTACTCTGATGTTAATACTTTTATTTTGAAGATTGATATTTTTTTGACAAGTTGTCTTTGTGTCTATTGATATTGATATATAAATGTTCAAAAGGATTTCGTTTTCCCAAAAAAATACACGAAAAGAGTACGTTTGTCGATTAGCTGAATTGTACACTGACAATAGTTTCAATATATAATTTGATGGTGTAATTGATTTGTTGATAAAGCTGGTCGTTGTTTCATTCTAATGACAACTATTTGTCCGTGAATTGCGAGACTTATTCTTCCATAAAAAGACTACAGAAAAATACAAAGCTCACAAAGGAACTATCTAAATTAGTTCCCAATATAGTTGCACTATAGTTAACAGCATCGTTCAACAATCGTTACTCTTTTATTTAAATTATGGATATACAACTGCATTATTCAGACAACAGACTACAATTTTTTACGTCTCTAAAGACAGCAAAACTGTGTGTTGCCTGCATATAGTAAAATCTGCTTGTTAAAGAAAAGTATTACATTTAATCCATTCTATATATATTTTGTGTGTATTCTTTCATTTTACAATTACTTTAATTTGTGCCATGAGCACAAAGAACGGTATTATTTTTCTTGATTATTATATCTTTTTGATTAACGAGAATTAGTCTTTGCCATATAGAGTTGTGAACTTCACTGCAGTTTATGTATGAATAGAGATATCGACATAGACTTGGGCAATATTAACAGTAAAAGGCTGCAAAAACCTTTTCATGTAGAATTGCTGTTTTAAACATTGGAATTCTTTGTTGAAGTATTTCGTATATTGAATATGATTGAATTCTTGCTGAAAACATAATGAAAGGAAAGCCTAAGTGTGAAATAGTGCGACTAATTTAGAAAATCTTAATAGATTTAATAATATGCAAGAATATAGTATTTGTGGTAATCATTTTCCAGATTTGATATCCCAATATGTAAAACTGCTGATATTTTGAATTTGTTAATTTATTCTATTACAGAAACTTCAGGAATATTTCTATTGTTATGGTTTATTCATTTCATTTAAATGGTATCTCTCCCATTGTTAAATATATACAGCAGTTAATAAACTAAAAGAAAGAATCTTATTTTCTACGACGTGTAAAAAAAGTAGATTTATCCATTCTAGAAAATATATATCATTTATATTTTCAGCTTGAACATGTGCTAAAACTGAATTTTATATTTGAATAAAAGTGTATTGCCTTGTATTTCTCTAATTTTTACTGTACTAAACATAATTGATGAATATATTGTGATAAAAAATAGATATGAAAACGTCTAAAAGATATAATAATACTTTTTTGGATTTGTCATTAAATAACATGAATGCTATCTTACACATGATTAAATACCGTAACCCACTGCAGGGCACCTGGGTATGGAACAGAATGACGAATCGTGAAGGAATGTAATAGGACATATCAACAGTGCAATAACTGATAGGATACAGATTGCTCGTTGACTAACATTCAGAGATAACCACGGTAGTTCATCCAGATATCATTCAGTAATAAATTAGCTAAATTATCAAATAATATAAAAGATAGTAAAAAGCATCTTTTTTTTGATAACACAGATGAGAATTATCATACAATTCAGTTAATAAGTTATTATATAATGCTGTGAGTATTTTACAAAAACAAAAAAAAGCAAATAATAATTTGAACTTATAGTAACATATCATTGTAAAAGCAGGGACGGCGCGAACGGGGGGGGTTGGGGGGGGGTTTCCCCCTCCAACTTTGGAAATTTTTGTTTCAATTTTTGAAAAAACCTCTCGTTTTTGAAAAAAAACCTCCCGTTTTTGAAAAAAACTCCCGTTTTTGAAAAAAAACCTCCCGTTTTCAAGTAACCCCCCTATACTTTTATTACTTCGCGCCGTCTCTGTGTAAAAGTGATAAGGTTAAATATAATTTAGATGCTGTCTGTAAAATGACTTATATTGACATAGAAGGTTCCTGCAGACGGTAACTTCTATACCGATGTCATACATTTAACAAAAGAATAGCTGTTGTGATAACTATATTCTCTACTGATTCATGAGACAAAGGTAAAATAAGTTTGTACGATGTTCATGATCGAAAAATAATGTAGTTAAATCGAAAACTACTTGCTTTTGTTTCGTTTAAATCACTCTAGTATGAATTGGATATCTAGAGAAGTTCAAGTTTTTACGGTAATCTTGTTGAAAAATATTATTTATGAGTATAGTTTAACTTGAATAGACTTCGTTAATAACTTAAAAGAGAAAAAATAGTCTTTAAAGAAAACTTTTGTTAAAATTCATATTGCGATAACGGTCATCGCCAAGAAAAAATCATTGAAATCCTTGAATTTAATCATGATACATTAAGAAATTAGTTAGGCATTTGTAGAGAATTGGAAATATTTCATGGCGATATCTTGATCTAAATTAATTGAGAAACATCTCTGTGATTCTCATTCAGGCATTGTTGTGTTAATGATTAAGAAAATAATTTGTTCTTTTAATCTTCAATAATATCCGAATAATATATTTTTAGGAATCTTTCATATATCAGTTTCTCATATTTCTTAACTGAAGAACGACTCCTTGAAAATCTTTTATTATATTTTTGTTTTCAAAATTTTAGCCGTTTATTCAATTTCAGTACGTTTCGTTCCAGGATCACCGCACTCAGAACATACAATACGATAATATAACGATTGAAAAATTTTAACATGGATAAAATCATTTTTGAATGAAGTAGATTTTTATTTTGTTAACTGTATGGATTCAGCAACATATTGAGAAAAACCGTAAAAACGTTTTCATCAAAAAAGAAATTATCGTTCGAAAAGATAGATAACACTATTTTTCATGCCAATTATTGTCAAAATAGACACATGATTCGAAACTATCTATATAATCTATGTGTACGCGATTAGTTGTGACCTAAAACAGACGAAAAAAATCCTAATTAAACCAAGCCGAAAAAAGAAAAGAAGCAAAAGAAGAAGAATAGCTTTCTCTTTTTATACGAATATATTATTGTCACACTTTTTTTTGTCATGAAATAATTTGTAATAAAGAAAAGAAATATACAAAAGTGATCAGGTAATATCTTTTGATGATTGCATAGATGTTGTGTTTGTTTTTGGTTTTGTTTTTGTTTTTGTTTAAATGAGAGAGAAAAAACAAATTATTTTCATACACGTGAAAGTCAACTTGAACAGAAGAAATATATTTTTAATCCATATTATTATGAAACATTCATCAGAATTGTATCTGTTTTCAAACAATACGTGATCGTAACGAATATTTATCGATAGAAAAGTTACTGAACATTTTTTGACACAAAATATGGTACATATTTAAGATATTTTAATTGTAAATAAACTATTTGCTGATGGCACAGCATTATGGGCGTCATCGAATACCATTACTAATCTTAAAAACCGACTTCAATCATCAATAAATGAATTCCAAAATTGGTGTAACGCGTGGAAATTAACAATTCAACCTAGCAAAACCGAACTACTACATTTTAGTCCGCATCCACGAAAAAAATACAAGAATGAATTAGAAATAGAAACTGAAGGAGTTATTATAAAACCAGCTTTTTCATCAAGATACCTGGGCATTATTTTTGATCATAGACTTGACTGGAGATCCTACGTGAATCATATAGAAATCAAAGTAGCATCAAGAATTAACCTTCTTCGATTTTTGGCCAAATTGAACCCAAACGCTAATCTGAACACAATGTTAATATTATACAAATCCTTAGTTCGATCAATTATTGCAAACGGATCGCCTATTCTACTTACAGCAAATCAAAAGATTTGGACCCGCTTACAAATAATACAAAATAAGGCCTTAAGGGCAACACTAGGATTACCGATATATACATCGACAGAATATATGCATAAGATAGGAAATATTCCCGAAATTAAGACATATTCGATAGCACTTCTTCAAAAAGCAATTACTCGAGCTAGAACCAACAATGGCAAAATTTCTGAAGAAAATTTACTACGGATTCAACTACAAATTGACACGAAGTAATATTCTATCCAATTCTAATCAAAACTGTTCCCGTTAGGGTATAAGACTGATGTCAAGAGTCCTAAACCTTTCTATGACCCTGAATCTCGTTCATTCTCCGTATTTTCCTTTTTTTCCATCGTTGTTGCTTTTCCCTTTCTCTCTCTTTTTTTCTCCGATTTTTTTCCTGTGCAGATTTGTTTACTTATGATGATAATTAAATAAATCGTTGTAACCAAAAAACAAAATTGTAAATAAATTTAGTCAATCAAATGAATATTTATTCGAGGATTTGTTGCGTAACTTTAGAGATTTAGAGTTCGAAGTCAATCTACTCTCGTTCATTCTTTCGAAAAGATATGGGAAAAGTAATTTGTTTTACTCAACATTCTTTAAATAGAACAATTCTGAGAAATGTTGGAGTCATTTAGATGATCTAATGGATAATTCTTGTTTCAGAGTTTAAACGAAAAATTTTTCTTTCGTAATAGTTGTTTCGTTTTGAATCTCCTGGTTATACCTAATAATTTTCAATGTCGATAAGATAAAAATTCAGTGTAATTCATTATCGAAAATCTTTTCTTTTTGTTTCAAGCTTGAATGATTGTTCAGTATTTAGCTGTGAGAGTATGATACAAGCTGCGATATGATGAATTACTCACAAGTGTTAAAATCTCACAGAAAGTTTCGTAAGTTAGTTATAAAGTCAAACATATGTGATCACGAGCTGAGGATTTTTCTTCTACAAGAAACATTGTATAGATCGACTGTGTGTTCAACGAAGTTTGCCATTCCACTTTAGTAAGGTGATACTCTTTTGTCAGTGATCATGCGTAGCATTCGTCAGTGAAATATGGTTTGTCTTCGACAGCATTGTTCAATAAAAATAAAAATAATTTCAGAGAAACAGAGAAAAAATGATATAAATGGCTGTTGTATGGAACAAAATAAAGAATAAGTTTGCGACAATAAACATAACAATAAATGTTATTGTATTTTTTAAATAAAACAAGAGAAACGATTCGAAAAATGAAGTAGAATAATCGGTGCATCAATATCTTATGAAGTAGGTCATTGATGATCATCGAGTCCAGCTTCCTTTTCATAGCTATAATCATCATATTTAGCTTATCATTCGATAATACTACAGATATTATTCATCTCAATTTTTAACAAATATCAATGAAACATTGAAATATTTCTTTAACTGAGAATAAAGATATTTGATGATAGAAAGATTGCACATTTCCTTTACAATGACACAAAAAATGATGTACTCATAAACATTCAAGAAGAATAACTATGAGTATATGAATTCAACCTAAGATCAATTCTTTCTGAAATATAGATCGAAACTAGACTAAAGAGTTTGTACTCTGTTCCAATTAGATGGCGTACTGGGATTCACTTTCTACGAGATGTATTTATTTATTTATTGATGATTTATGAAACTTTATTCATTGTGATGATATTTCAGTATCATTACAACTGCACTCACATTCATATATCCAATTAATTCCGAAAAAATACTTCATGGTAGCGTTCTACTCATCTATGAATAATGATACTAGACGAAATCAATTTTCAGAAAGTTTTAATTGTTCATGTTCTATGAGATTGTAAGAAAAAACACAAAAAATAAAAACGCAACGACAATGGGCTATGTGTAATCTATAGTGGTAGTAATTCTATCTTTGAATCTGTAGGAAGCACGTGACTAAAGTTATGATGAGAACAATTTCTTTTCCTCAGAATTTTGATTTATGTATGCCATGGATTGTACACAATTGATTGCATCTTCCAATAATAATTTGTTCATTATGGAAAGAATCATCAAGTTTTCTACATAGACTCCTCAATGAATAACAAAAACGAATAAAACTCACAATTTTAATGTATTTTAGATCTTATACGTGGCAATGAACAAAATAATTAAAACAACAGTCGAACAAAAACAGTTTATTTTAGTGCCTTAGTAGTAATGATTTAGTTTGTCGTTAGATATTTTTAAATTAATATCATTGATTAATTGAAGTTACTTATTATTTACGTTAATTATTTTTCATAAGAAAAAATGATTTACGTTGGTTCAAATGACTTAAACGAGAACCATTGGTATAAAAACATATTCAACATTTAAAATAAATAGATGTTAGATAGAAATCTTCTAAACACTTGCAAACATATTTTTACTTTAAATAGAAATCTATTTTAAAAGAGATTAGATTACCAATCACCAGTCAACTATTGACGTAATTTAGTAACATCATTGTCCACAGATAATCAACCATTCCACTATAAAACTATCACAGGTACAGTACATACTATACCAAACAGTCTACTGCTAGCTCTTTTTACAATTTGAATTCCATGAATAGTTATTATATTATGATTCATTTTTTCTATACTAGCTTTGAAATTCAGTGTATAATATTATTTCAACATATGTTGTTCTTGATTCAAATAGTAATACAAGCGATTTGTCTAAAAATTTTCATAAATCGGATGATCATATTTATTCGATTATATTTTGTCTCGCTTAGTTCAAAATACTGAATTCAATACGCATGCCTATATATGTATAGCTTATTAGAACAAAGAAAATGAAACAGGAAAAATTAGTGAAAAACGACATGAACATGGCGAGAAGCGGCTTCTGCGCGCGCAAACATTGGGCTTGAAAAGAAAAAGGTACATATTCACACAAAATAATAATAATAATAATAATAATAGTAAAAACAAAGAACAGGAAGATACACGAAAACAAAATGAATGCATGCCTAGCCAGCAGAAAATAAATAATAACAAAACAGATTATAGGACATCACAAATGTAAGAGAGAGAAAAAGAACAATAGAAAATTAAGAAAAAAAACATGAAAATGATTTAAGTAGAATCTTGTGTGGAAGGATTTAATTGAAGATCATATGAAGTAGAAATAGATGAAGATGAAGAAGAAGAAACGGCAGGTGGCAACGGTGAATTTGTATGTGATCGTGAAACAATCGCTGATACAGCAAGATTATCCTCAGTATTATTGAGCAGAATCTTTTTCCGTAATGTACGCAAACGTTCATTCTCACGCTGTAGAACATCGCTGCGTGTACGTTCATTTTCTAATTCTTCACGTGCGACGCGAAGCTAGAAAAAATTAATTCATTATTAAAAAACTAAAACAATTAAAAAAATATGAAAGACATGCGTCTCTTTATCGATTATTATAGGTACACACGCAAGGCAAATGGATCTATTATTCAATTAAAAACAAGTCCATTATATTTTTTACATTAGAAGAGCTAAAATAATGATAACTTCACTAAAATAAACTTTTTCTTCGACGAAAGTTCAAATAGAAAAATAAATCAACGTATGCATCCATTTGATCTATTGCTTCAAAATAAAAATAGATGTACCATGGAAAAACAAACAAGTGCTATCATTTCACGTCAAAATCACGCAAAACCCAATATATTGAAAACAATAACTAAATCATGCAATTCGTTCACATGCCGGTAAACGCTACCTGGTAGTGATGAAGAATTATAATTAGGTGAACTCGGTTTGGGAGAATTCGTATTCGACCAACGATCTGGTCGATGCTTATTACTCGTTATTAATTCATTGTCAGCATATGGGCCAATCGTTGATGAATCATGTCTTGTTGACCAGCGATCACTTGAATAATCGCGTGATGTTCGTCGAGATACCGATGGTTCACGTGATCTATACGGTAGTGGTATTGATGCATCCAATTCTCGTTCAACTGATGTATAACGAGAAACAGATGGTGCACGTCCAGATCGATTTGGTGGTATTGGAGGTAAATACGTATTTCCTCCGCTCATCGATGAATTCAGAAGGTGTCGTGATGATGAATTATAATTTCTTCTGACGAATTCCATTGAATCAATTCGATCTTGTAAACGTTGATTTTCCAATATTGTATCATCATATCGTGATTTTATATCACGATACTATTAATTATATGTTTTTACTTAGTTTGAATGAAAAACAAAAAAAAACGCACTATGAAAGGATCTTTTCTTTGTTTTAACAAAAGAAAGCAAATATTTGATATTTCCTTTGTTTCAGGAGTAAGAAAAACCAAAAAAAAGAATACTTTACCTCTCTTTGTAATCGTCTTCGTTCTTGTTTTAGATCTTCTTCAATACGCTCTGCATCTTCGGTTTGTTGTTTATGTCTTTTAAGTTGTGCATCATATCGCTTATTCTAATAGAAAGAAAAAGGGTTTTCTTTTCTTTTCTTTTATAAAATCTACTTACTTCTTGTTGTAATGACACATTATCAGCTTCCAAACGTTGTAAACGATTTTTTAAATCAGTTATTTCTTTTAGTAATTGTTTTGGTTGTTCATAATCTGTTGCACCACTTACACTTTGATGTGAATCATTTAGTTTTGGTAGCTGTTTTTCAAGTGTGCGTAAACGATTTTTTTCTTCGTCTAATTCAGATTTTAATTTAACTATTTGTTCAAATTGTTCACGTTTTTCATTCAAAATTCTTTTTAATTTTTCGTCAATGGATCCTTTACCAAGCGAATTAAGTAATGTTAATGTTTCATGAGAAACAATACCAGTTGGTAAAACAGATGATAGCTTTTCTTCACTGTTATTTCGATTGATTTCATCACCAGTTAATAATTGCATGCCAGACTCCTAAATTTTCATAATTACATTATTTTTGAAGATAATTTCTTTCATTTGTAATAATAAAATTACTTGAATTAATTTTTCACGATTTGCTAAAATTTCTTTCAATTGATTATGCTCGTGTTGAAGTTCAGTTAAAGTACGTTTTTGAAGATCAAAATCCTGAAATAATTTAAGTGAAATATTTCATGATATTATTATAATAGATTCATATCTTTAGCAGCTCAATTTCCATTCTTTATATTTCATAAACAATTGAACATTAACGTATACATTTCTCGAATTGGAATTCTCATAGATATTATTTTGCTTTATTTTGGTAATTAAGAAAACAAAAAAATATTTCATTTGAGATTTTAACCATTAGAACTGATGTAGAATGTCTTCTGACGAACTAATCATTTTTCAAGCGGAACAATATGCATCATTTAGATTCTCATGAGTCATGAATACACTAGAATACAATTATATTGATTAAACTCCTTTAGTCAACGCTGAGTATTTTGACTAAAAACTTTTTTTCGTTTTGATCTTAAGATATACCCGAGGGTGAAAATGTGGTGTCTTACATTCGATATTCGTATTTCATCATAGTATCAACACATGAATTCGGAAACTTTCACAATAGTATAAATCACAACAATGATTTAGAAGAATATCGTCAAAAATCAGTATTTCATTTGTAATCAGTTAAAATAAAGAGCAGCTTTCAGTATATTTGAAACTCATTTGGATCTAACTGATAAAAATTATTTATCGAGACATTTGCCTTGCGATAGTGATTACCCTCATTGATACATTATTTCGCTTTTACAAATAGTTTTATTTATTTGAAACCAGTTATTTATTTTAATTGATCATGTAAAACTTATTGCTAAAGAACAGGAGTTCAATTTATTGAACTATTACTCTTCGAAGCCTACTAAATGATAAAAATCTAAGAAATAAATATCATTGATCATAAATCTATTGATCTATAATGATTCACGTCGAATGCTGCTAATTATCTAGATGAGATAGAATATTAGTCAATTGCTGATGATCTCTATACATTGTTTTTAGGTGACATGATGGAAAAAAATGAATATTTTAATTAAATGTAGTACTTTGCATTTTTCTTTCAGTTGTCTTTTCGCTTGGCTTAATGTTTCATAATGTTCATCCAATATGTCTTTGAATGTATCGACTTGATAACGTAATGCTTGTTTTTCATTATACATGCTTGAATTTGCAATCATGGCTGATTTATATTTTGATTCAAGTTCACTTAAAAGACGCTTCAAAACGAAAGATGAAAATTTCTAATTGAATGATTTCTGAAAAAAGATAAATCTTAAGATATCTACTCGTAAATCACGTTGTTCAATTGATCGAAGATCTATATCGCCATTAAGAAATTTCTGTAATAATAAAGAATTAGTAGCTGTTCCCATTCCATTATTATTTGCTCCATCCATACTCATTATACGAGACTAATATAAAGCAATTTTAATCTTTCTATGAAAATTAAATCACTATTAGATATTTACCCTATTTGAACCGATATTACTCGACGAAGCAAGAGGCGCTGCTGTGGAATCGCCACCATCATCCTAAAATTCATCATAAACAATAAAATAACATATTTTTGTATATACATTAGTATTATAAGCAATCATACATAAAGAATTAGAATCTAGAGCATGAGTAATCGCAAAGAATTTAACTACATTTATATGTAAGTATTATTTATCTTAGTTAAATAGTCACCTCCTCGTCTTCTTCTTCCTCCTCCTCCTCCTTATGTTTCTTTTGATCATCTTTGTTAGATTCTGAATCCGCACCAGATGCATCCTTTTTTTTGAAAATGAAGAATATAATTTATGAGATAGGAATTTAACAAAAACATGATGAATAAAGAAAAAAACTATATATCTTACATCTCGTGCATTTTTTTCTAATTCTTTGTGTCGTAATTGACGTGCTTCACGGTTTTGTTCTCGTTGATGTTGCAAACGAAGTTCGGCCTTGATAAAAAGTAAACAGATAAGTAAAGATCAATCAGTTAAAGACAAACAGTTAGATACAAACTTCTTTAGCAATAGCATCAAGTGCATGTTCTTCAGCAAATGACGTGCTGTGTGCATCAAGAACTTTAGTTGGCGCTGTCACTGCAGCTGATTCTCGATATCGACTCGATGTCGAAGAACTCATCACATTGCCCTTAAAATAAAAATGTTAATCAGAATCTTTTTATGATCAACATTGAATTTTACTTGATCGAGTCTGATTTTTTATTGTATTGATTCAATAAGAATAATAAATAAAAGAATTCGCACTATCGATGCAATAACCAACAACGAAAACAGGTGAAGTGAATGAAGGGACTGTGGAGGAGGAGAAAAACGGATGTTAAGGTTAAAATCATCTTATTGGAGTTTAATTCAACCATTATCATCTTTTAAGTGCCTCGTTCGAATTTTTTATCTCTAAAATAGAAAATTTCAATTAACAGAAAATATTCTAAAGTAAAATAAAACGAATATTCACGTGATCAGAAAGAGCACCATAGATGTCGTCAGATGACGAACATAGAAATGTTATTTATCTATTTGATGAGAGTGAAGAAACTACTAAGAGTTGGTTCTTGGTTTGAGCTCAGTTATTTTGGTATTAGTCACAGTGCTCGTATATTGTGAAGTTTTTTGGTTCGAATTTCGGATTTCGCATTTCTCGCATTAGAATCGTATACATCGATGAAAAAAAGGATGACTATCTCATGATCATCAAAAAGTATGAATTCAGTAATAGATAGACAGATGCAATCCGATAAGCATGCAAACATGGTGTGATGCTGTTAAAAAAACTAGAATAAACATCTGCATATAAATTTGCAAGCGATTAAGATTCAGTTTTTTTTTATTAGAGCTCCTTTATTTAAAGATTTTATTTTTTACTTGTTTTCTGATTTATTACAGTAGATTCTCGCTACTTTAACTGGTTAAAACGTTCACGATAATATCGCTAGAAAATACTGTAATAGAATGATAATTTACCGATTTACTTCAATTGAAAATTTTAAAAAATTACATTCGATACATTGACGATTATCAGGCAAATGTATGGATTATAGTTAGTATGCTACTATTCAGGTACTGTATATAAGTATATGATTGAAAACTGTGATTCTTACATTGACCATTGGTTCGATCATCGAACTTCGATGATTATACATAAATAAATGTGGAAACTTCGGATTTCATCCGAGAGCTATGTGTACTGCAAAAAGTGCATGCGACATATGAGCCATTCTAGAATGCCTGAACACGAAAATTATCATGAGAAACTAGACAATTTGATTTCTGGATGGAGTTTTTGTGAATTTTGAGACGTTTTTCAGGCGATGTTTCGTTAGAAAGCTACGGTTTAGGTCAAAACTAATATCAGATTTAGAATCAGCGTTAAAAACTGAGTCGATTTATATATGTTGTGAGTAATTCTGAGAAAATTGTTTTTTTGAAAAATCCNCAATCGAATGTAATTGTGAAGAGTTATCGAATAAACGGACGGCCGGACACACTGACCGATTCTATAGTGTACTCTTTTTTTTTTGAGTACACAAAAAGAGCATTCTGATTACGTTTCAATTCAAATATTAAACCATCTTCAATTAAGATTCTTTTCATCTTCGTGTAATGCTGCCCACATTGGATAACATTTCACCACTAGTCAAGGCAATCGCAAGTAGTAGGTATGCAAAAATCGTAAGATATTTCATTAGATATGAGAGAAATTTGAAGTTGTGTGAATGAACGTGAATATGAAATTGCATTTTTTCTCAAATGAGAGAGCGATCTGGTTTAACAATAGATACAATACTTTATATGACTGTCGAAAAATGAATAGATGTAATTTTCTATTATATATCTCTTCTGTTTTTCTCATTGATACAGAATATTAATATATATATATATACGTACGTACAATACATGTCTTCTACTTCTTTTCAAGTAAATAGAGAAAATATGCCATTGTCAACCACAATATTTAGTGAGTATGTAAAAAATCGCTCATGCTCTCTTGAATTCAATCGATTTTAGAAAAGAATTTTCTTATCGATTCCTGACATTATCAGCGCTGCCGCCAAACTTCGTGAATTCGAGACACTTCCGATGAGAGAAACGTTCATGAGTGATTATGCATTATCTTCAATAGTATCCAGCTTTAGTTTCGAAGAAATATCCAATTATAACTATTATTTCTAGAAAATTTGTATGTTGTATGATGGCAACAGTATGTTGTTATTGTTTAAAATAAAATTTTCGTAGAGAATCTTTTAGATTTCAAGGTTTTGAATAGTATTTAACTTACTAATCGATTATATCTATTGACCTACTAATCAGATGTCAGAAAAATTTTCTCGTCTATCATAAAAACAAAGTATAATATGATTAGAGCAATCTTTGGAACGTCTACGGTTTTCTTTCATATGACCCTAGCTACGCTACCTTTTGTCTCGGCAATAGTCAAGGATCACAACCTTCACATTAGATAGCTCGATGGATGGAGATTCTCAACTCGTATTCTTCGATAGTGTTGCATTTTCTGTTGCTTATTGTGGGATTGTACAAGATAGTGTTATTTTAGGATTTGGAATGAACAGATGTTGTCCTCTATATGATCACTATTATTCAGTAATCATTAAAAGCACTTGTTTATCGGGTGTCCCAGAAATAACCGACCAAAAAGAAAATTGAATATCTCTGCTACGGCTCGAGCTAACGAGTTGATTCTTTTATCAACGATAGAGTCACGTTCAAGCTTTGTATTCATAAAGACATGCCTAGAGAGTTCCTTTACTAAGTATACTAGACTTTTTTCTATCTGTGAAAAAGTGAAATTTTTCTTGTTGAGGTCAGTAGTGTTACTTAACAAAGCGTCTTCCTAGACATGTCTTTATGGATATAAACTTGGTACATGCCTCTATCACTGATAAAATAAATCAGCGCGTTTGCTCGAGCTGTAATGGAGATATTCAATTTTCTTTTTGGTCGGTTATTTCTGGGACACCTGATACGTAACTTAATGTAGTCAAATAAAGAGTTGACCCACTGCTTATGATCAATGATGTACAAATATGACCAATAATTTTCAATTACTTCTTTCCTTGTTACGAGCTCTTTTTATCGTCAGAAAAACGCTCATGTTGATGAGAACCTATTAAATCGTGAGCTGTACATTCCTAGTTAACATGTCCTTTCTGCGCATATATATATATATATATATATTGAATTAATAGATATATCTTTCACTTTCTTTGATAAATAAGTAAAACACGAGGATTCAACCGTTCATTTCTTGTGAAATCAAAGAGAATCTTTTTCACAATTTCATTATTATTCGAAAAATCTTTTGTTTCTACATCAGAAAATATTTCCTTGAACTTCGAGACCTCATTTGAAAAAAGCTTTGAAATGAATCAGAAATGTATGTAGTGATATCGTCATTTTCATCATTTTGTGTTCTGTGTTGTTCATACTACAGGATAATGAACATAATTGAATAGTATTTTGTAGAAGATGTAACAGAGAATATCGTTTTTTCTTCAATTAAAGAAATATGTCGATATAAATATTTTACATAAAATATAACTTTCTCAATCACTAGCTTTAATTTTATTTCTTGTCTCAGCATTGACAAAAATAAAGGTGATTCTACAATGTCATATTTCCCTCTGCTTCCAAATAAGGTAAAAAAAGATGTCAAAACTGTTTATCTTCGACATTTTTTGTTGCTTTCAAAGCATAAACCATAGGTATTTTCTTTTCCAAACCTTTGATTTGATAAAATCCATCATGTGTCTTAACACTATTCAGAAAGCAGTCGTATGGTGAATAATCGAACTCCCGTAGAATATTAATTCGAAGTCCATGATCAATAAGTGCTTGAACAATGTCACTAAGACTATGATTCCATTCAACACTTGAATTCGAAATAGGAGCGCTACGATCAGCATAACTTCCACTACATTGCGATACGATGGCTTTCTGATTAAAATATGATTCTGTCAGAAGGGTAAAATCATCATTAAACATCGATAGAACCGGATGAAACTCGGCTATAATAAAATTACCATTCGGTTTCAAATATTGAGAAATTAAAGAGGCCCATTCATTAATATTAGGTAACCAACCAGTAACACCGTATGAAGTGAAAACAATATCAAATAATTGATCTGGATCACATGACAAATATTTTTGTAAATCATAGATATTACAACAGATAAATCTTGTTGATGTGGTAAGATTCGTAGTTTCAGCTAGTTCTTGAGCTTTTTCAATAGCCTTGTCAGATAGATCAATGCCAGTGACATGTTTTGCACCACGTCGAGCCAGTGAAAGTGAATCAAGTCCAAAATGACATTGTAAATGAAGAATACGTTGACCTTGTATTTTACCCAATAAATCACTTTCAATATGATTTAATGAATCGGCACCAGCAAGAAAGCCAGGAACATCGTACATAGGTGATATAACATGATAGTAAACTTTATCATTCCATAAACGTTTATTAATGTTGACAAAATTAGTTACACAGTCACTTTTATCAGTCATGTGAAATAAGTAAAGTACGTCCTTTGATCGAGCTATTGTTTTTATTCAAGATCATAATTTCATAATATTTACTCGTCTTGCCTAACTCGTATTTATCTTTGTCACTGAAAAAGCGATAAACAATGTGTGTCACAAAGATTTTGAAAAATTACCTAAGAATCAAAGACTACAGAACACAAACAGACCATGTGAACCAAAAGAAAAACAATATGCATTTTATAGTTAAATTTCGATCAAGCTTTTGATCATAGTATATTCTTTCAGCAGTGAATCGATATAATTATTCTATACATTGGATCTAACTAACTTGAGGGTACAGAAACGCAGCACGGGAATCGACAGAATGACACATCGATTATGAAGAATATTCGCCTATTTTAAGCAAAGTTATAACATTTTATTGTTCACTAATTTCCATGAAAAAACCAAACTCGTTTACTCACTTTCACAATGTCCCATTTTAATGCACTGGAGAACCCTACTAACAAAAATCACTCATACGTATGTCAAATGGTAGTCATATATTTTTCAAAATTGTGAATAAAATTTATTTGCTTCTATTGTTTTGAAGAGTCAACATTAATGTGTAATCGATCATTAATGGCTAACCCAAATAAACAATAAATCATAAGTTCGAAGTGTTACCAATGTTTGATAATCAGCATGGAATCTTCATTTTGAAGATGTTCGCTACAATTACAAGCATTCGTTTATGATTTCGATTTGCGCACTTTAGAAAGTTGAACTAAAGAAGTGCGGGACCATCAATAAGTTTGAATCAAGTTTTCGTTAAGATATCTTAATTGTAAATTATTATTAATTTCTTTTCTCGCTCGATCTTAATTTAAGATTCCAAGAATAACATGACTAGTTTTTTAATAACAAATAGTCGAACAATACAAAATCCTGAAAAAATATTGATATTGAAGCATTTATAAATTGCATAGAAATAAATCAAACATTTCTTATCAGTGTCATATACTTTTGCTCACCACTTATCTTTTGTATTCTTCTAATTCAAATACTTTGCAATTATTTTTTGCTTCATCACAAGTGAAATATGACATCTAAAATTATGAAGTTTTTTCTCAATTACATTGGCAAGTCAAATATTTTGAAATAATTAGTCACAATGTAAAAATTTGAGTTTCTCTTAAGTGAAGTTATTATGTTACATTTGCCTGACAAAATAACATCAATCGAAATAAGTCCATGCGCAAAATGGGATATGAGAGCCATTACAGCAATAGGAACCGGTATAGCTGGCAATTCTTCAAAAGAACTCCATGAACCTACTGATATCTCTCCTCATAAACCATCAAATTCGTTATTTATCGCTGACCATCCATAGAAACGGACGAATTCAAAATTTTTTATTAAATGAATTAGCTGAATGATATTGCTGTAGCCAACAATTTGTTTTTGCTTCTTCGCATCTATGTCGATGATGATAATAATCAACCAACTATCTATGTAACACTATCTGTTGAAAGTCGTATTGAAGAATGGAGATTGGGAGCATCTAAAGATGTACAAATCGGTGACCAATGCAATGATTGTGTAGGTTTAGCAGTCGATAAAGCTAAAAATGTTTACATATCGGATACGCTACGAAGTCGAATAATCAAATGGTCATCTCAAACCAATGAAACCACAACAGTTGCTGGTAAAATAGATCAATCTGGATCAACGGCTGAGCTTCTTTCTTTTCCACAAGATCTCTATGTCACTCGAACAGGTGACGATATCTATGTAGTAGATTCAGCAAATAGTCGTATACAAAAAATGGTCTAAAAATGCACAACAAGGTATAACTGTAGCTGGTTCAAAAAATGGAATAGCTGGAAATGATTCTACTTCTTTACAGAATCCTATTAATGTTTTTGTGTAGGAATTAACAAATGTGATTTATGTGGTGGATACATAGAATCATCGAATAGTACGTTGGTTACTCAATGCAATCAAGGGAGATGTTATTGCTGGCATAGGTCGTATGTAAATAAATTCAATTGCAAACGCATAGCTATATAAATGATATGAACGCTTGTCTCGGTAGTATAGTACAGCTTTTAGTTAAATTCAAAAAAAAACTAAATATTCAATGAAAAATATAGATCTTGACTCTTGAAATAATATTTTTATGAATAGATATGATTCTCAATAATGTACTAAATATTGTCATAATTCATCATAGGCAAAGGCAATGGGACTGGCCAATTAAATCAACCGGTTGAATTCACGTTTGATAGTAATGGCAATCTTTACGTCGCTGATCTAAGCAATAATCGTATTCAACTCTTTCGATTAAAAGAAAATAATTTGTGTTCATCGGCCGTATCAGGTTAGTCTCCATTGTAAATCTGTTTAATATTAATAATTATTTCTTTGTGTTTTATAGCGTCCATTATCATGCATAAGTAAGCAAAAAAATGTAATGTGTTCTATGACATTTTTGAAATATTATAGGATTACTTCAAGTTTGCTAACTCTTTGGTTTATTGTGAGATTGATTTAATTTTGATATCTTATTAATATATATATATATATATAATGATGTACGATAGAAATGTCACAAGAAAATTTCATGTGTTGTCATATGTAGTAAATGCTTTTCTATTTAGCTTTATAGTTTTTGCTGGAAAGAGAAAGAGAAAATAATGTATCGAAAAATGAAGTAATTAAACGAACTTTTTCTCTCAAAAAGAATTTTTTTATAAGAATTATCTTTTATTTAAATCTTACTAAAATAATCACGTAAATTTACTGTGCTCGGTAGGTTCAGTTAGGTGCATAAAAATAGAATTGATTTCTATAAATCAATGTCAACATAAATTAACGATTTCTATTCTATAATTGATTACATTTGAATCGATATTTTCTATAGCTCAAATGACTATTTGCGTATGTTTGAAGCGATTTTAATTGATGAAAATTTATGGCATAGCTTGAAATTTGATCAGTAGTTATGTTCGTTAAATTGAATTATTTTACTTTTTCAAGTAACCTTAAGACTTTACTAGAACAAGAATGCATTCCAAAGGCAAACTCAAGGTTTGAACTAAATATTAATATTCAGAATGGTATACTTTCTTTTTCATTTTCATTAGTTAAAAAGTTCGTAAAAAGATAAATATTTATTTAAAAATATTTAAATATACACGAATATTGACTTAATATAAAGATGTATGGTATAACTAGTATTCTATTAAAACGAGACCTATTCGAAGTTTCTTCTGTCATCGACATACGGTGTCGTATGGAAATATTTTCGTATTTTTTAACTGCGGTTTTCTCATGAATAGCAAATTTTGCTCAATCGGCCATTAGTAATCATTACTCAGCGTCACTTCAAGAAATAAAAATAGTTGATCTGATCTTCATTGAACAGTAAACAATGTTGAACAAGAATTTACTTGTGAATTACATATAAACACTAAAATTTGAATCACACTAGGCATCAGTTCAAGCGAGACGTTTGCCAATTACTATATTATGACTTATCAGATATTTAATATTTAGTTGATGTTACAATGGTTGCAGACATTAGCATCGAATGGACTGAGTCTTCTAGGCAAATTTTATGTCTAAATATTTTTATGTGTGCATATATAAGCTAAATGGAAAATATATTTGCTAATTACACTGTATTTCATAGATTCATAACGCAAACTAGAAAATCAAAACCAATTATTGATAATGTAACTCAAGATTGGTCGATCTTTCAAGGTCACGAACAAAATGGATGGACCAATATTCCATTTAAACTTACTTTTCATACTAGTAATCCTACGAAATATTCTAGTCGAGTAAGATTCATTGAATTAGAAATGTCAATTCTTAGTTCTTTATATAAAAAAGAAAAAAGAATTTGAGTTTATCATATGGTCTTCAAGATCTTATTTCGACTCGATTCAATGTTGATCTTACGCATATCATAGCCTAGAACGGTCAAATTTTCGTGCGATTTCTGTTCAATCATTCATGAATCAAACACGAGAAGAAAAGCTCGTCAACCTTAATTACATTGAATTACATTTTAATCATGCTGATATTGATGTTTTTTTTACTAAAATAACATTTACTTTTTGCAATCTTCTTCTGTATTCTCTAATTCCACTGGATGACACGATTTCCTATTACAAAGTGATGAAAGCTTCAGTTGGACTGTGTACAAGATCTCATGCTACAGTAGTTTACTTAATCATATTCTATTTTATTTTCATTCTGTTGTTACTTTGCCAGTTTTATCACGATACTTTGATCAATTCAACAAATGTAGATATTTACCTGCATGATTGGTTTATGAATATGACCCTATAATACGTAGCTTTTGAGGATATTAATGAATTGTGTTGTTACAACTTAACTTATTTGTTCACTAATGAACGATTGATCAGTAGTGTTCATGCTTTCAAAGTAGAATATTTTAGAAGCTTCTCAACTTGTCGCATTTCTGTACTTATCAATATTACAAGAATTTCCAGTTCTTTTGAGAACCTTTGATGCCCACTACGATACCGTTATGATGTTGATGAAAATTTCTTTAATTTACTTTACTTTTTCAAAAATCTGGACATACTTCACCAAGACAACTAACTTGATTGTGTTTGTTAAAAACGATTATAATCTGCAGCTGTTTTGATCATCCCACTAACAGTTTTATCGTTTATCGAATTCTATCAAGTAATGATTTCAAATAACATATAGGCCAAACCTATCAATTTTTGAAAGAATATAATACTGTTACGGAAGAAATTTCGATAAAGAAAATACGGATTTTTTTCAAAATAAATTTTCGAGAATTCCAAAAGGAGAAGTTTCAAAATCGTGGTTTCATGGCCCTTAGTATCAGCTTACGTAAAGCATAATACTTTGACATGAAAGTTGTAACTATTAGAAATTCTCCGATTGAAATAAAATATTATCTAGTGTACCTTATGAGAAGCTAAATAGTAAAAAATTTCTCGAGCGGACTGTTTTCTTAATAAATATCTCTGATAATTTATCTTTCATCGAATATTAATACTTGAATAAATTCTATAAAAAAAAGAGCGTATTCTCAAATTTGAAAGTCTATTTTCAGAAAGTTTTATTTATTTCCTTCAAGATTAGATATGATGAATGTGATTCTTTTTGTTACATATCTACATTCAAAAGAATGTTTAAAAAAGAACGAATAGTTTAGCTTTTAAATTTTCTCTTTTTAAAGCACTGATACTTGCAACTATTCTGACAAAAAAAATGTAATTATCAATCATAATTGTCCTCATACTTAGCGATTTATTTGCTCAATGACTTAGATATATTACAAATACTTATCTTTAATAAATTTAATTATATTAGGAATCTCTTTAACAATAAAAATCGTGTGCATTCCGAAGTTCTACATATTTTGATTTGAATTTATCAGCTATAAAACATTTTTCTTCTATTGAAATAAATGAATCTCTCGATAGAAACGAAATAAAATGTTTAGAACATTGTAAAATGATAAGAATAAAATAAAGCCATATACTTTATTCTTTTGAATTAATCTCATTTATATCCAATTGAAATTGTATGTTTACTAGCTTTGAGTAACTCACGAATAAATAGTAACCAAAATGATTCATGCAATTGATAAGAATCAGGTATCTTCTTGAAGATTTATATTCGAATTTCTTTTGTATAATTTTCTTTTAATCATGAATACTAATCCTGTCAATGAACACATTCATAGTTCACTCCAGATTTAACTAATTAAAACACTCTAAAGAGTTATGTTTTAGATCTAAAAACAAGAAAAACAGGAAAAAATTTGCCTAAAAACTGTTTATCTGTCTTTGCTAAGATTTTTCATTTCCTTGAATAATATTTAAATAACATGAAAAAAGCTCTTCACCTTGTTTAATCGGTCTTAGAGAAATAAGTACAACCGATGGCATTCCTTTATCGTTATCACCCATATCTGTATCTGTATATCTAACATTTGGTACAAAACGATATAAATCATATGCATTGTCATTAAAATTAAAATCAAACTCATGATAGGTTACATTTGGTAATCCATCGGATGGAAAATGATTTATATAATGTCCAAGTGTTAAAGGATTTTTATGTAAAAAAACATCTTGTGAAAGCCATGTTTTATCATACGAAGGATATCGAGCATGGCATGAAAGATAAATTGAACGTGACAATCCTCGATCACGTCCATCAATAATTAGAGCATCTTTACGTGCAAGTAAAAATCTGTTTCGTATTGATGGTAAAAGAAGAGGATCAATGTGACGACGATATATTGTTCCGGGATATATAGCAACTAATTGTCCAGCTTTATTTATTTGACCATAATCAAGAAAGACACCTTGAGAATGAGTTTGAGATAAACCTTTATTTATTGAAAAATTCATGTGTTCTTGAAGAATACTACGAGGAGATTTATTTGAATGAGATTTTAATAAACGATCAAACAATTGAACAATTTCTCGATGAAGATTACTCCGATCGATTTCATCTTCAATCGAACGACATAATGATTGAACTTTATCGATTGTTTCTGTATTCAAGTAAGACGAACGACGACCAAATAAATATTTTAACATCTAGATCAAATTTTAATTCTTTTTCTACCAAAAAACATTTTTCAAATAATTGATAACAAGACTTGTTTTTATAACTATTATAAGTTATTCACTAACAATAAAGGTCATCAATTTCCATCATAAGAAGAAATAATTAGAAGATTGTCAAACTCTTAAACAAAATCTTTATTTTTATTTTTCGATTCAAACACAAAAGATACAATATCACAAATCATCACCAAATGTTAAACTTATATTTCAATTAGTGGTTGACATAACCAATGAAGTTCACTATCAACTGTATTGTATTGTATTTATCTATCGAAAATGTATAGATGACTCTAGGAGGAAGATTTTTCAAAAACTAGATACACTATCGTTTCAAGTCCTAGAAGGCTCTACGCATGTTAGATTTGTCAGGTTTGACTTTGTAGAAGCCGAAATTTTTCCTCGCTTTTTCAAACAATTTTTGAATACGAGAAAAATAACCAGATGCTTCCGTTTTTTGATATTCCAATAACGTCATAGAAGATAGGCTGCAGGAAATACGACAATGGTTATTTCATTCAGAACTTCGTATTCTTAAAAAAAAGTACTTAAAAAAAATAGAATTATTAAATCGTTTTCTAAGATCTGAAAATTATCAATTGATTGGCTCATTAGATATCTTTTCATCATGATTCATCTATGAAAAATCGATGTGAAGTGCATTCTATAGAGAATTTCGTTGCTTATTTAAAAAACTAGTGGAGCATGTATGAAATGCTTCTTATCAAAGTGAAAAATAAAAAATATGTTGATCTTAAATTTTGAATCAGTACTATATTATGTACAATGAGGTCAAAGTGCATCTTGAAAATAAACTTTTTTAAATGTTCACCAATTTTCGAAATTTATCAAATACCTATGTTGTGCATAGGTTTTATGAGAATAAGCATAGAAGAAAAAGAAATAATACGAAATTCTTGTAAAATAAATATGGAAACTTCGGATTTCATCCGAGAGTTATGTGTAATGGGACATATGAGTCATTCTAGAATGTCTGAACACCAAAATTATCATGAGAAACTAGGCAATTTGGTTTCTGGATGCAGTTTTTGTGCATTTTTAGACGTTTTTCAGGCGATGTTTCGTTAAAAAGCTACGATTTAGTTCAAAACTAATATCAGATTCGGAATCAGCGTTAAAAACTGAGTCGATTTATATATGTTGTGAATAATTCTGAGAAAAATTTGTTTTTTGAGTACACAAAAATAGAAGATAATGAAAAATAAATGTGGA